CTACCCCCACTCACCCCGTCCACCCCCACTCTGCCCCCTATCTCCCAAACCACTCACCACTCATGTTTGTGACTTGTGAGAGTCTACGTTAACACAATTACTGTGGGTGGAAACTTGTGTTTATCATTTCTCAATTTGTTTATCACTGAGTGTGAAGGGGGATGGGGTTGAACTTAAATATGGGTATATTTTTATTAATTTTTTATTAACCATATTACATGAGCTTAACTAGTACGTAGTATGTATTTTAGTTTATAAATGTGACAGAACAATATTATTTTGATCCTTGTATATATAGTAAAGGGCTTTGTTTGGGTTTTTTTCAGATATGGGACACAGTTAAAGGTCAAATACAGACTGAGTTTGCAGATATTGAGTCTTCTGAGACAATAGGCTTGTTTGCTAAAAGACAAGAAGGGCACCTTTCCATAGATTATACTTGTATGAAATGGATCTCTTCTGAGAAAAAGGTTTGCAACATATCATCCTGCCTAATATTGCTCAATAGGCTCAAGACAGTTCTTGGTAATTATAATTATTAACTAATCAATGTTTTGCAGAAAAAAAGGAAGCTTGGAACATCATTGTTGGTATTGGGAACTGGCAGCGGCGATGTTCTGGCCCTAGATGTGTCTGGTGGCCAGTTGAAATGGAGAGTTTGTGATTGCCATTCTCGGTGAGTCCTTTATGAAACCCATAATCTTTGGCTTCGTGATCATGATTCATGAACAATAGTTTCTTGCAAAGCTTTCTATTTAGCTTTGTCTAAATAAAAGTAGATTTAGAATTTATGGGTGGCCAAAATTATGTAAAACTGACATGGTTTTGAATATTTCTGCTTTATATCTTATTGTACAGGGGTGTGACTGCAATATCATTTCCCACAAGTGGTCGGCTCGTATATACTGCAGGCGGAGATGGAATGGTTTGTGAACTTGATGCCATGTCAGGGAACTTATTGCGGAAGTTTAAAGCTTCTTCAAAGGCAATATCATCTATGTCCATTTCACTAGGTTTGTGAGAAATATGCGCTCTTTAATAATAACTGAATGCAGTTCATTATTTCCTGTATTTTTTTTTTCAAATTTCATTAGCTAATGCTATACATCCGAAGAGAAATGGAATATTCTTATTAATAAAAAATCAAAAGAGAGATGTAGGGTTTTACACAATTTGTCATTGTTACAGTCTCACCATGTTAGATGTACAATTAATGTGATATTTTCACAGATTACCTCTCCACCTTGCATTTGTGCATTTCCTTTAGCTGCTAGGTGTGAGGTGTCAAACGTGTTTTCTGTAGATCAGCTGAAGTTTGAAAAACTATGAGCTTTATTTTGTGGGATTTTGGGCCATTTGGGGTGACTAAACAGTTACTAAAAAGAGGTAGGGAATACATGCTAGGAGATACATTGCAATGTGGAACAAGAAGGGTGTTAAAGAGTTTTAATGACGAATTTGGCAAGTTAGTATTTGGCCACTAGCTGTTTACTTTGGTTTTTGTTGTCATGTAATCAATATCATGTGGGAATGCAAGGTAAAATATTTCAAGGTGCATATTTGTTTTCTCCTTGCTTAGCATTTGATCATGGAAGACAATTGTACTTAAATTTATTATTGCTTTGTAAGTATTGCTAGTCAAGTACCTAGCAATTAGTTAATCAACAAACTACATTCATCTTGCCTATTCTGCTTCATGCCTTGATGTTAATTTTTTTCTTCAACATTTTCATCATATTATCATGTTAGATGGGACAATATTAGCAACTGCAGCCTCTCAATTGAAGATTATTAATTGCTCGGATCATAAAAAGCTGCAGAAATTTTCTGGTCACCCGGTGAGTTTTTCTGGAGCTTTGTGACCATTTGTCAATTTAATATTTTTACATCTGTTCTTTATACCTCAACGTGCTTTGGTACTCGACTATGCAATACTATCTCCCCATTATATCTTGCTTGTTTTTCTTTTTGGCAACTCCCATTTTTTTGGAACTACAATTCGAACTATAACCCGCTACTACACCCTTGAAGCTGAGGCAGTCAACCTCCATGATCACTAAACCCTGTCCAGGCCCTTCATTTTTAACTTCCTCTGGGGATCGATCCCTGGCAAGTAGCCTTTGAACGCCACTCCCAACTTATCTTGCACATTTCCATTTTAGAAAGTTTTAAGGGTGAACTTACATGAATACCCTTCACATCATATGTTATTTGTACCTTCACGGTAGAAAAAAGGGGCTAAATGTAAAGGTTGAACTGATATTTCCCTTACATTAAACAATGTCTCCAGTCATAGCGAGCAACATAAATTGAGACGGAGGGAATATTAGCTAGTCCAGCCCCGATGCATATTTGGGATGAAATACATAGTTGATGGCCAAATTTCTGAAATTGGATCTAGATTTAGTAAAATAGTAAAGAACTACCCTTTCTTATTTAGAACCAAATATGCATGAGAACTAAATTGAACCCTCACAATCGTCGATCACATTTAGTCTCACGAAAAGCGAGGGCCAAGTTGATCAAGTGTATAGGGAGTGTGTTCAAACACAAAAATTTCTGCTTATTGCTTTTGTAGCTTTTGCAATCTTATGGTTATCTGGTAGTTGAAAATTTTGCTAAAATAAATACTTATTTGGAGCCACTTAAACTCATAAGCCAAAAGAAGCTTGATACCTGTTCATTTTTTTTGCTTATTATGTTATTTGCATATTTGAAAGTTTGTAACAACTCATACACTTTTGTCCCTACCAACTTTTTTTTTAATTCACTTTCCTGGTACATCTGTCTTTTACTAATAAATTAAGCACTTGAGCATTTTTAGTTTGCTAACACTCAAAAGCATTTAAACAGAAATTTATACTTAAATTTGCAACTACTACGCTTTTTACTCTTACCTAAATACTCCTTCCGTCCGCCATAGATCTTCCCAAATGCCCTTTTTGTTTGTTTGAGAAAGATCTTCCCATTACCTGTTTTAACATTTAAAATACCACAACTACCCCCACTATACTTATTACACATCACCCACCTCATTTAATATACTTCACTCACTTTCATTAAGGGTATTTTAGTAAACTTTCAACCTTTTCAACTCTCCTTAAAAACCACAAAAAGTCAATTTGAGAAGATATATGGCTGACAGAGGGAGTAACTACTTATCGGATATAAGCTAAAGTAGAAACTTAATTTTTTGAAAACGTTCCTATAGTCAAGAGGACTAACTTGGGTATCAACCCTTAATATATTTATGTCATAAAAAAATCAGAACCTGTTTGTTTCCCCATTTCGTTTTTAACATCTAACAAGCTTAGTATATATTCATTGTGAACAGAGCCCTGTTCGGTGTATGGCGTTCTCTGAAAATGGAAAATACCTACTTTCTTCTGCTGTTGGTGAGAGATATGTTGCAGTGTGGAAGGTAGGTGGCAGAAAAAAGGAACCGGCATGCTGTTCACTTGCTATGGATCACCCTGCTGTCTTTTTGGATAGTCTAATTGTTTCCACTGAAGAAGATGAATTGGGTCTTTGTGTTTTGGCAATATCTGAGACAGGCGTAAGTTATTTCTGGTATGGAAAGAGCATTGATGAGTTGCGATCTTGCAAGCCCACCAAAGTATATTCAGATGAGAAGATAAAGGGTGCTGTACATGGTGTTTTTGCCGCAAAATTGGAGCATATTGTTAAACCTGCTTCTGGACGTGTGTTTCTGGCCCATGGTTTGCCCGTTAAGCCATCTTTTGAGAAAGTTGTGGTGCAGTCCGGGACAGACATAAAGTTAAACAGTTCACTTGATGGACTTCTTCTCCCCATCAGTCAATCTCGCAAACATAGAACAGTCTCCCAATTACAAAATCAAGGTAACTGCATTTGATATTCTCAATTTTCAACTATGCTCTATTAAGTTCTGTTTGGTTGTATGATGTTGTTGCATTTCATGGATGTTTTATTCTCATTATGTTGCTTGTTTTTTAATTTGCTTATTTTCTTGCCAGTTGCCAATTGCTGTGAGTTTATCCCTGAATTTTTTAAATATCTTTTCTGAGTGATGAGGATATAAAAAAGGGTAAGAAGAATTTGCAATGTTGGTGTTTTATAAAGTTTTAGAGGATGTGGGTGTGGATCTATTATTTTCTGGATCCTTATGTAACTAGGTAAGGAATTACAAAAAAATTCAACAAAGATGTGAGTTGGGCAGGGTTGGTAAACCTTTTGAACCAAGGGTCTATCATAAACAACCTCTCCACCCCTCACAGGTAGACTGTAGAGGTAAGGTCCTTGACATTTTATTCTTTCCCTAGCATTTGAGTTTCAAGCATAGCCCTAATGAGATAGGATGAAGTCACTCTTTAAATGTCTACATTTTAGTTAACACTATGTCTTATTTGATTTCTCTTTCTTATTATATGCTCATTTTTTGGCAGTTTGCATATGCTTGCCTTCTTTGTTTGTACCTTATTTAGATGCAGCCTTTTTAAATTAGTCTGATTCAATTTCTAATAGTTTTTGTGTGTTTGTAAACAGTTACTGCCTTAGATCGTGCAAATGCTGAGAATGCACTACTTCCCATGCCTCAGATTCACGACTTGACTGGCATGAAGAGCGGAGCTAAACTAGTGGTTAGCAATGGTATGCTAATCTGAAAATTGAATCCTTTCCATTCTCTAGTATCTTAATCCTTCTGGAACTACTACTGATTATGGTACCCCAATTAGTATACTGCAAAGCTACAAATATTTCTACTGTAGTCTCTTCAAATATATGTTCTTTTTTTTTCAAAAATTCTGATTATTTCATCTCTATGAATGCTAGTCTTGTATTATGCCGTCTCAATGCATAGAATACTTCCACACATAAAACTTGTTCACTATCAAGTGATTTTTGATGGATAAAGGCCATGCCTGACACCGTGGCACTGGCAACCGGCTAGTTTTTTGTGTCGATTGTTTCTGACAAATGTGTTCGGTAAGATGATACATTTGTGTTTTCATGTAAACAGCTGTGGAATCACAAAGCTTACAAACAAATTTTTAAACCAGCATTTTGGGACCAAGAAGCTCTTTTCCAAGCAATTTTTTTTGTTGTTTGACCAAAATCAAGTAACACATTTAGCAAAATAAAAACCTCTCTTTTAACAAAAAAGCACCCCAAGAACACTGGTTGCCAAATTCAGTTATTTAAATGTAACTGTACAAAACCAGTCTAGAATAGTTTGCTTACTGATATGTTACATGCACTCAGATGACATGGACCAAGATGATGCTGATACAGTCACACTATGCATGGAAGAGCAACTAATATCCATGGGGATTGTTCGTGAGAATGATTCCTGTTCTAAACTAACTCTTGAAACTGAAAACATTAAGGGTATCAATCTTGAAGCAAGTGTCCCGCAAAAGGAGGTTTGTGTTTATGGATCACAAGTTACAGATATTAGTTTTTTACCATATAATGCTCCCTTGTCCCGTAATTGAGTTGCCACTTTGAGTTGCACTCATTTTTAGGCTAGCCAATTGGTATATCCAACTTTGAGGTATTAAAGTTTATCCTCTTAGGAGTTTACTTTTATGGAAGCAAGAACTTACTTTTGTGACATCCTTAAAAGGAGAGCGGGAACTTTATTGTAGGAAAGAGTGAGTATAACTATTTATGTTTTCGTCCTCTTTCTTTTTTACAGGTAAGGAAAATTGTTTTATCTATGGAACCCAAAGCTGCATGTAATTTGTTAGAAATGCTGATTGCTGCATGGCATTCCAGGTCTGCTCTCTTTAATCATATATTTAAAGTCCTTGCACCAATTTCGTTATCATTCATCTTTGTTAAAACCAATAATTTACATCTTGACAGACTGTACAAGGCGAAATACATTCTTCCTTGGATATGTTGTATAGTGGTAAACCACCGTTATTATCTTACGTCTCAGGAAAGATATACCCATTTACTAGATTCTCTAAATAAGGTAATTTGATATTTGCCTCTTTAATGATTGAATGTCAAGAATGGTTTGTGTCCAAGTCTAACTAGCCTCATTCTTCTACTTTTCTTTACAAGGTTACCAAGTCTAAAAGAGAAGCTCTTAACTCTCTATTGCAGTTGTGTGGTCGTTTGCAACTTGTTACTGCACAGGTTGCTAAAATCTTTAGAAATCAAATGAAATCAATTTCTTTCGACGTTTATATATTGATGCTATTTTGGTTTCTGTTTGAGATCTGCTACAGTTTGAGAAGGCTGCTTACAATAAAAACCAAGTGCTACCCCATGATGAGCAAGTGGATGAAAGTGAGGAGGATGAAGATGTTGATGAAGTTCTTTATGGCTTAGATGATGGATCACAGACAAGCAGCAGTGATGATGAATGAGCAAGTTTGTGAACTGTCTTCATATTGTTGTGCAATTTTGTCTGGTATTTCAATTTTATCTTATTGATTACTGTTCTGTATCTCATGATTTAGAAATATTTAACTGTTTAGTACAATGATCACAAGCAGTTAGTATGAACACATCTTATTACTAGAATATTGTGTTTGGTCTTGCCTAAATACAATATAATCATTGGACTTTCTTTTGATGCATAGAAATGAGGATTCCAGCTTTCTTTCCCATAACACTTAGCAGAATAAATGTATAAATAGTCTTTATAAAAGCTCAATGGTACATATGTTCTCTATTAGTTTTATTATTGGCAAAAGGTGTCCTTGTGCCAGAAGATTTCAGCTGCAGAATCTAATCCAAGAATAAAGTGTCACACAAGAAATGAATGGTCTGGTGGGCATCCATTTCTGTAAAGGCAAAGTGGAGTGAAGAATAAGTTCCCTATGCCTGGTAATGCCAATCCTGATCATCTCTTTCACAAACTTCACAAGATTCTTTGAAATTTGAGCAAATTGTGCTGTCAATCCCTATGATATTGCGCATGCATTCGGATTTTCTTCGCTGAACATTGAGGAGATGTTTGCATTGCTATTATTCCCATTGTGACTGTCCTCTGAGTAATCATAACCTGCGTATGGCCTCGGTGTAGGGTACATACCCTCTGCGTAAGGATCAGCCCTACGGTGATACATAGCCCTTGGAGGTGGTGGCGGGGCAAACTCATATCCCGTGATGTATGGCGATGGCTTGTACGCATTGTAGCTATGCGAGACATATACGGGTTGCATGAACCCCGAAAGGCTTTGGTGCGGAGGTGGGTTGAACTCCGAAGTGTAAGATGGTGGTGGTGGTGGTTCTTGTCTATGTCTGAAATCCAAACCATCTTGGTACAACATGGGTATAGGCGGATCCTGTTTGGGTTCTTTTGGATTGTAGGGTGGTGATGGCTCTTGTCGCTCGAGTCTTGAGCTACTATTTGGGGGTGGGGGTG